CGTTAGGCGATGAGATCGTTTGGATCACAATTTCCACAAGCTCTTGCCAGCGGCATAACTTGTTGGGCTGGTAGCACTTGGAGGATGGCTTCTCTGGAAAGGTGCCCGAGTTGCATCTCACCCTATTTGGGGGTGGCTCCCCCACCCCTCAGCCTGCAAGACGTCCTTAATTCAATCTTTCTCTATATTTTATTTTCTCATTTTCTCTCTCTCTCTCTCTCTCTCTCTCTCTCTCACACACACACACACACACACACACACACACACAGAGTACACACCAGGGGTCCACTGGCTACTGGGGTAGTGTGAGTCTTTCTGGCATCTCTCCCCCAGCTTGCACAGCCACGGAATGTGGGGGCTCAACAAAAGGTTCCACCTTGGTCTGGTGGCTCTCTTGCCTGGGAGGAAATCAGGCCCTGCGTGTCCATCAGCTGCCGCCTGGCTTGCAGGGCTGCCTGGGAAGGAGGATCACCCCACAACCCCCTGCTGTGTGGCTGAGGGGAGGGAAGGGCAAGGGCTCCCCTCGGGCTGCCAGCCTCGCACGCCATGCCTTCGGCAGCCTCGGAGGAAGCTGCGTTTTTGGGCCACCCGTCCGGCCTTTGCCACTTTGCAGAGAGCACCCCCCCCTCCCAGCCTGCAGAGTGGCTGGCATGAACCGCCTCCACCGTCCTGGACCCAAAGGAGGAGCTGGGATGGACAGACAGACAGTCTCTTAGCTATTGCTTTCCATGCTGGGTCCTCTCCTGGATGCGCCCACACTACTTCCCCCAGCCACGGAAGAGCAGCTTGGGGGTCTGGCAGTGAAGCGAAGGACCCCAGTCTTGCTGCACGTTGGGTGCCTTGTGACCGTGACACAAGAATTGGGAAAGTCGGGGAAGTGCTGGAGCAATCCGGGCCACAAAGTGAGCAAGAGCCAGGCAGGAAGGGCTGGGGCAATGCGGAGTATTTGCCAACCTGCCGGTTCCTGGCGCAGCCTGCCAGCCACACGCACACATGCCCCACAGGAGAGTCTCCTTGGCCCAGGATCCCCCCCCGCCCCCCAGTGATCTAGGAGCCTCTGCCTTAACCATCGCTTTGATGCAATCTTCAACCACAAGAGAGTTTCAGTTGCAAAACAGCTGAGGAAGCGTGTGCTGAAGGACATCCCCCCCCAGGGGCGAGTCTCCCCGGAGCTCCCACCATGCACCTTCCTTGGTTTCCAAAGTAGCCCCGCACGTGACCCTAAAAGAGAGAGGCAGCGAAGGCATCTCAGCAGGCAGCAGCCCTGCAGGGAAGTGTGTTTGTGTCGTATGTGTGTGTGTGTGTGATTGCGAAGGGAGAGAATGCTTTCCTTCCTGCCTTGCCTGGGGATTTCCAGGGCCTTCATCCTGATAGGAGAGCCAGTACTATGTAGTGGTTACGGCAGCAGCCTAGGAGCCGAGAGACAGTGAGTTTGAGTTCTGCCTTGGGCATGAAAACCAGCTGGGTGACCTTGGGGCAGCCCCTCTCTCCCAGCCCCAGGGAGGAGGAAACTTGCCTCCAGAAACCCTGGCCGAGGGAACTGCAGGGACTTGCCCAGGCACTCACCATAGTTTTTGTGGGCACAGCCTGGAAGGAAGCCTTATTGTACAGGTGATTTTCCCATGCCAAAAGGCCACCCATCTTATTAATCATACGCCGAATGGCAGGACCAGCCAAATAATCATGGGAGGGGAAGAAGCAAGGTGAGAAGATTAAATAATGGCCTGGCACAGGGCTCGGTGCTGGCTCCCACATGGTCAATACCTGACATGCCAGATGCCAAAGGATGGATGTTTGCCCAGGTTTAGGATGGCGTGGTCTAGCAGCCCCAGAGAGACATAGGGAGGATGCTGAGTGCTTCCTCCCTCCCTCTCAGGAGCTCTGGGGAAGGTCTTCGCTGACCAGAGGCTCATCCCAAGCAAGAGCAGAACAGAAGCTATGCGCTATCAGTCCTGCTGCCTTACAGCCTTTTCTAAAAGGCTTCAGTGTAACGCTGGACCCAACTCTCTGCTATAAAGAACATCGGCAGAAATTAATATTAGAAACAACAGACTCCATAAATGATGTGGAGCTAAATGGGGAGCCTTTGCCTCTCCACTCAGGTCTTCCGCATCGGGGATGCTGTGCTCCGCAGCTGAAGATTGGGCCCTGCCCAGTGACCAGCTGCCACCCAGATAAATGGGACACCCGGCTGAACAATGCAGGGCGGGATATGTCACCATGGCCTGTTCGCTGCTGCTGCGGCCCATTCAGCACAGCCCATCCACCATGGCCCGTTCGGCGCAGCCCATTTGGCAAGGCCTGTTTCCCACAGTCTGTTTGCCGATGCTGCCCGTTCGGTGCGACCCATTCACCACCACCGATCCCTGCCGCCTGTAACCGGTTGAAAATGCAATGCGTGGAGGCCAGAAATGCAATGCGCAGAGGCCAAAAACAGCCGAAGGGTGGGGGCTGGAGGGTGAGCAGGGCTTCAGCAACATTCGGTGTATAAGACGCACCACAATTTTCACCCACTTTTAGGGGGAGAAAAAGTGCGTCTTATACTCTGAAAAGTATGGTATTCTAAAATGTAACATAATTTAACATAGACCTTCTTGAATTTCTTATACCTGACAAAATTGACCACAGATCTCCATTGTCTGTGTATCCTATCATTCTGTGTTCTTCCTATATATCCTCACTGCTGCTATCCATATATTTCCTGCCATATGCTAAATAAATAAATAAACCATGACTTGGAGATGCATGCACATAGGCACGTGCACACATATACACACCTGCACACAGACAGACCTTCCTGGCCACTTGAAGACTCGGGGGCAGCTGCACTTTCCCCCCGCCACTCCTTGGAGAGGTGGGGAGTGTGCAGGGGTGGAATTCAGCCAGTTTGGACCGGTTCGGGCAAACTGGATGCTAATTTTACATCTGGTTCATCGAACTGGTAGTTGCAAGGACTGGTTGGCTCTGCCCACCCTGCCCGTCCCCTCCCAGGAGTCTCCAGGCAGCCTGTTTTGGATGCCAGGTAAGTGCAAGGCCTGCACAGGGGCTCTGGGTGGGTGAAAAGCGGGCCTCCTGGAAGTTGCGGAAGTCCGGAAACGGGGCTGTTTCCAACCTCCAGAGGGCCTTCGGAGTCCGGGGGAGCCCGTTTTCGCCTTCCCAGAGGCTCGAGGAAAGCCTTTGAAGCCTGGGGAGGGCGAAAAACAGGCCTACCGCAAGTCTGAAAATGGCCCCGTTTCTGGCCTCCGGAGGGCTTCAGGAATCCGGGGGAGGCTGTTTTTGCCCTCCTGGAGGCTCGAAGTAAGCCTTTGGAGCCTGGGGAGGGTGAAAACACCCCTCCGTCATGGTGCAGGAGGCCAAATAGGCCACGGCCACCATGGCCACATCCACCCAGCAACCAGGCAGAGAACCAGCTGCTAAAATTTTTGAATCCCACCTCTGGGAGTGTATCCCTCAGATTCAGCAAGGAAGAGGGCTGTGGGGGGCCTCCAGTGGGGAGTCCCTGCCTTCTGTTCCAGGGAGGCTCTTTGCCAGCATACCTTGATGCTGTGTGCTGGGAGACGCCAGTGACAGGTAGACTGAGACTCCCTTCTCCAGAAGCAGTGAGAAGCTGGCATGCCAGGGGTGGCTGCCCTCCACAACATCAAGCGGCAAGATTTGCTAGCATTCCAGGCCGAGGCGGATCAGCCGGGCCCCTGGAACCTAGGCTACAGCCACCTCCCTTCTGTGTTGGCAGCCTGGTCCCCAGAACTGTTGTCTTGTTTCAGGGCAGCTTATTTTGTGGCAGCAGTGAGGAGGGGGAGTCAAGGGCGTCTCCTTCAGGGATGGGCTTTGACCTTCGCTGCTGCTGGCTCTGCTGCCATCCAAGGCTGGGCTATCTGTCCCCCTGGGTTTTCCCCTCGTTGCTCTTCTGTGGGGCTTTCCAGAACTGCTGCTGAGTGCCGGGAGCCAAGCGGCATTTGGGCCACTGTTAAAGGCCCACGTATGTCACAGGGCTCTATAGGACATCACATCCAGGCAGTGCAGGCGGCTGGATGGAGCAGAGCGAACCCCGCAGGGGGAAGAGAGCAAAGTCACAATCAAAAGTCACTGATCTGTCAAGGGGAACCGAGGGGCTGCCTCTTCGAGCCTCTTTCCTTCCTGAAATGGCAAAGCCAACAAAGCAATCATGGGTGCCAACAGCTGTATATTAATCCCAGGTTAACCCTCTATGGATTTAAGCTTGCCCCTATCTCCACGGGGGCGAGTCCCCCTGACAGAAGGGCCACAGCACGGAGGGGGAAGTCAGTCTCTGAGGCCGCACTGACAATGAGAGGCTCCCAGCCCCAGAGAATATCCCTGAGAGTGCTGCCCACCACATTCCAGAGACAGAAAAAGCCTGGCTGTTCACACAGCCTTGCAGATGCCCAGCCTGGGCATGGAAGACCTGTAATGAGGCTTCCTGTCCCCAAAGGCCTTCTCTGCCCAACAGGGAATGGTAGAGTTTGAAGGGGTCCATCAAGTCCAATCTCCTGCTACCTGCATCGTCCAAATGTTGCTGAAAGACCCCCACTTGGGCCGAGAGCTCCACTGCGGACCTCCTCTAAGGGGGAGAAAATGGCGCCATAAAGTCAAAAGACAATACGAGAACCTGACTTGTCACCTGCAGCTCCCACCTCCAATCCCTGCAAGGATACCATTCAGAAGCGGCCTCAGGCCCTTTCCTTCCCACCGGCCTCGGTCAGGAGCCCATCTCAGCTGACATCCCTGATGCAGGAAGAGACCCAAAGTCAAGAGCTGACCTACCTTTGTTGCCTTTGCTCTGGCAACCTGACAACTGCACGTTTCCTCATTCCCACTGGGCAGGTTGTCATCAGCTGTCAGCCCCATCACACTTTGCTTGGGTACACAAGCACAGAACTAGCAAGTGTGCAATCTCTCAATCGAAACGGCCGTACCCAAAAGGTGTTCAGGAACATTCCCTATTCTGCCACAGGCGTGGACTTGAAAGCTAAAAGACCAGCCGCTGTGCCAATATTTAATTAATGATTCTGATCTGTGATGATTTTTTCTACTTCTTCCTTCACCTTTTATTTCTTCGCCCTTTTACAGCTCGACATCGATACCTGGGAAATCCTAGAAAATGTAATAAAAGAATAGGTTTGCAAGCCTTAGAAAGGCACATATGCGGTATTACAAAGAGATCATGCAACTAATTGCTTTCTTTGACACAATGAGATGATTGGTGGACCAAGGAAATGGGGTGGAAGTAGGTTCTATATTCTTCAGTAATAGTAGTCCACGCTTAATGACCACATCTGGGGCCAGCAACTCTGTTGCTGAGCAGCATAGTTGCTAAACGAAACATCAAATGGCTGTGGCTTATGATTTTACTTGCGCATTTTCCATTAACTCTGCTTGCTGGAAGCCAGTTGTGAAGCCACCTATGGTGACCACGTGACCCTGGGACTCTGCATCGGTTGCAAATGCAGGAATTGGTCATAAAGCTTTTTTTCACACTGCTGTAACTTTGAATGGTCACTAAACAAGGTAGTTGGTAAATGAGGACTACCTGCAAGGCATTTGATAAAATAGATACACCCCACTTCTTGATAAACCGGAGGAGTGTGAAATGGATGGTCTCATTTCTCAATGGATTTACAATTGCTGAAGAAGGGTAGCCAACCCATAAGTCTTGAAGGGTTTGTCTCTGCCTGGAGGGAGCTCCGCGGTGGGGTTCCTCAGAGTCCTGCCCTGAGCTCACCACCCTTCAGCATCTTCATATATGACTTAGATGAGGGAACAGAAGTCAGGCTTACAAAATTCGTGGATGACACAAAGCTCGTGGGAGAAACTGCTAGCACCTCAGAAGACAGGTTCAAGGTTCAAAAGAATCTTGACAGACAGGGTCTTATCCACCCGATTTTGTTTGTTGGGAAATGTAAGGTTCTGCACTTAACGGGGAAAAAAGCAAATGCACTAAGTACAAGATAGCAATATCTGGCTTAGTGGCAGCACTTGTGAAAAGGATCTGGATAGGCCATAAATTAAGCACGAGCCAGCAATAAACTGCCACTGCCAAAAGGCCAGTGTCGCCTTGGGTTGCATCAAGAGATGTTATAATGCCAAGATTAAAGGATGTGATTGTTTTGCTCTGCAGTGCTGAAATATGGTGTCCAGGTCTAGTCTCCACAATCCAAAAAGGGGGCTGGGAATCAGAGAGAGCAAAGAAAAGAGGTTGGGGAGGGCTCCGGAGTTTGAATCCCACGAAGGACAGGAATGTGGTGTCATGGTTCCGCGTAATGATCCCAATCAATTCAGGACTGAGACTGTAGCTTTTCTCAAATATCTCATTTATTGGCTACATCATATCGGCATGTTCAAATGTGAAATCAACTCTGAATCATTAACTGTCAAGTATTTGCAAGCGATTGGCACATGTGTCATATAGACACCAGTGGAGGCAGAGAGTGTCTCCACCCCTATGTGGAAAGGAGGGGCTTACCCTGAGTATAAAACCCCCTCCAACCTTTTCCACCTCGCTCTTTCCATCTCTCTCTCTTCATGTTTGTTCCTCATGAGACTTGATCTGTTGTACATAGTTAATATGATTTATCATATGAATAAATACGTTTAAGACATTTATTTATGTATCTGCCTCTGAACTCTTCTATGCTCCTGGGTGTTTCTACGATCCCAACTCCACATTTCCACACTCTAGTATAATTAAAGGAACGAACATTGTCTTACCTGAATGTTCCTTTTCAGGGCACTGCGACTGCAGTCCATAGCTGGGTTTCTTCATCATCACTTTACTTTGACTGGGTGATATTTTAAATTAGTGTCTCTCTTCGTCCTGTGGCCACACCTCTCAGTCCCATAATGCACCAGTCTTTGAACGAAGGCGCGACCACCTAGTAGTAATCAGAAGAAAGGTAAACAGTAGGCGAAACAATAACAAGGCCAGGCAAGGTCAAGGAACAGATAGTCAAACCAAAGAAACAGGGGAGGGAATGGACTGCAGTCGCAGTGCCCTGAAAAGGAACATTCAGGTAAGACAATGTTCGTTTTCCAGAGCACTGCTCCTGCAGTCCATAGTTGGGATATACCCAAGCTCAGACAACACGGGCGGGAGACTAACAGCCTCCAGAGTCCTGTGCCACGTGAACACTTTGCAGGACTCGACGGCCAAAGGAAGCCTCAGCGGAGGCAAAAGAATCCACCCTGTAATGTCTTATGAAAGGCATCACCGAGGACCAAGTGGTGGCCCGGCAGATGTCCGAAACTGATGCCTGCGTGGCCCAGGCAGCAGAAGTCGCGGCACTACGCGTTGAGTGAGGCAAAATTCCAGAGGGAACCGGCCTAGCCTGATGTTCATATGCCGTAGATATACACGCCTTGATCCATCTGCCCACAGTAGAAGGAGATATTTTTTGGCCCAAGGATCTCGGATGAAAGGAAACCAAAAGTGCTTCCATTTTCCGGAAGGATTCCGTCCTGCGAATGTAGTGACGAAGGGCCCTGCGGACGTCAAGGGTGTGCCAATCCTTCTTACGTTGGTGCTTGGGCGACGGACAGAAATCAGGAAGGATCAGTTCCTGGGCGCGATGAAAATAGGAGTTCACTTTTGGCAAAAAGGCAGGGTCCAGGCGAAGAATAACAGTGTTAGCGTGGAAAATACATAAGTCTTTCCTAATAGACAAAGCTGAAAGTTCCGATATCCTTCTGGCAGAGGTAATCACCAGAAGGAAGGCCATCTTAAAGGACAAGTGCTCGAGAGATACAGATTCCAGCGGTTCGAAGGGAGGAAGCATGAGAGCTTGAAGAACAAGGGAAAGGTCCCAGGTAGGGTACCGGTGGCAGATGTAGATTCATAGCTCCATGCAAAAAACCTTTGAGTAACGGGTGCTGAGACATCGAGGAGTAAGGCGGGCACCGAATGACTGTGGACAGCGCAGCAGTTTGTCGACGAAGGGTAGAAGGTGATAAGTCTTTGTCCAAGCCAGATTGCAAGAAACAGAGAATGTCAACAATCTGAGCTGACGTAGGGTCCACCAGGTTGTCAGCACACCAAGTGCAGAAAGTCCGCCAAGAAGACTCATATATACGCGATGTAGAAGGTCTTCGAGAAGCCTGTATGGTATCTATGACGGAGTCGGGGAGACGGTCCTTCCGCAGGATGACCCGCTCAAACGCCATACGGCCAATTGGAGCCATCCTGGATCTGGGTGGAAGACGGCTCCCTGGCGTAGAGAGAGACGGTCCGGTGGAATCTCCCACGGAGGGAGGACGGACAGTGCCACGAGGTCTGCATACCATGGTCGACGAGGCCAGTTGGGAGCCACAAGCAGGAGATCCGCTCGTTCCTCCAACAACTTCCGAATCACCTGAGGGATCAGGGGAATCGGAGGAAACGCATACAAGAGGCCGGTGGGCCAGCGGCATCGAAACGCGTTGTGAGCCTCCGCCGTCGGGCACGGGTAACGAGTCACAAATCTGGGGAGCTGGGCATTCGTCGGACTGGCGAACAAGTCCACAGCGGGCAAGCCGAAGATGGTGGTGGCCTCTCGAACGATGTCAGGATCCAGTTGCCATTCTGACTGGTCTATCAGTTGTCTGCTGAGCCAATCGGCTCGGACGTTGTCTACGCCCGAGATGTGATCGGCCCGCAGGGAGAGAACGTGACTCTCGGCCCAATTCAATAACTTCTCCGCCTCCAGCATCAGGTCCCTTGATCTCATGCCCCCTTCCTTGTTGATATGGGCCTTGGCTGTAATGTTGTCCGTGAGGACGAGGATGTGGTGACCGTGTAAAAGGGGCTGAAAGTGACAGAGGGCTAGTCGAATCGCCCTCAGTTCCAAAAGGTTGATGCTTAGAGTCTGTTCTGAAGGTGACCAGCGGCCCTGCACCATCTGATCGTGGAGATGGGCCCCCCAGCCCAAGAGACTGGCGTTGGAGGTCAAGGTCAGCCGATCCGGGAGCAGAAAGTGCGAGCCCAGCAGAAGCTTGGGACCCATCCACCAGTTGAGGGACAGGGAAATTTGAGGGGGGAGAGATACCTTGTGTAGAGAGTCGCTGCGACACGTGCGTTGAAATGGAAGGAGGAACCACTGCAATGGTCTCGTGTGCCTGCGAGCCCATGGTATGATTGAAAAGCACGAGACCATTTTCCCCAACAGTTGGGACAGATGGAGGAGAGGAACAGAGCGCTTGGATTGAATGAGACGAACCAGGTTGCGGATGCTCTCGACCCTGTCTGGCGAGAGGAAGATCTGGCCCCGAACAGAGTTGATCACCGCTTCCAAATGCTGGAGAGCAGTGGACGGATAAAGGTGACTTTTCGGGAAGTTGATCGAAAACCCGTGATCCTGAAAAACTTTGATGACAAGGGCCAGATCACGAGACGCTTGACTTCTGGAGGATGACAGGACCAGAATGTCGTCTAGATAGCACAACACTCTCACAGGTATCATTCGGAGAGCAGCCGCCACTACCGTTACCAGCTTTGTGAAAGTCCTTGGAGCAGATGACAAGCCGAAGGGCATCGCACAGTACTGATAGTGGTCCTCCCCAATTTGGAACCGCAGATATTGAGATCGACTGACTGGAGGAAGTCGCCACATCGTATCCCGGTAAGGATGGATCTCAGGGAGTGCATTTTGAATCTGCGGTAGAGAACCGACAGATTCAACTGCTTTAAGTTCAGGCTGGCCCTCCAACCCCCCGAATGCTTTGGGACCAAAAAGAGCGTGGAATAGAACCCCTTGCCATGTTGATCCGGTGGAACTGGCTCTATTGCATGGATGTGGAGAAGGTGGAGAACCTCTTTCCGCAATAACAGTTCCTTGTCGGGGGACAGGTGAGCTGGGCAATGGATGTAACGAGACGGAGGGTGACCCAGAAATTCGATGGACAGTCCGGAGGAAACCATTCGAAGAATCCAAGCATCCTTGGTTGACTGTTCCCATTGGTGGCTGAAAAGTTGCAGACGACCGCCAATGGGATCCTGCAACCTGCAGTCATTTTCCTCGACGGGCTTGTTTGAAGCCTGAATCTCGGTAAGGACGTTTGGCACTGTTGCTCCTGGATCTGTCCCGAAAACGCTGTCTATCCGAGAGTCGGTCAGTTCCAGGAAAGAAGGCATGTTGGGAATAGGGGCCCCCTGGCCCCGACGAAGTCCGAAAGGGCTGGCGCTGGGAATATGATGTGTAGCGCCGTTCTGGTCTGCGGTACGAGGATGCCGGCATAACCTTCTGTTTGTCCTTGTCCTCAATGAGAACAGGGTCAAGGGCGGGGCCGAAGAGGTTTGGGGCCGTATATGGAGCCGCTGCCAACTTCAATTTTGCTTTAGCATCAGCTCTCCAGTTTCTGAGCCAAAACAACCGGCGAGATGTCACAGAGGAAGCTAAAGCCCGTGAGGCGAACTTCACCAAGTTTAACGAGGCATCCGTCGAATATTCGGTGGCGGCCACTATTTTGTTTATATCCTGGTGAAGGCACGTATCTTCAGAGGGGAGCCTCTCCTGAAGTTGCCTCAACCAAAGCAACGAAGCTCTATTAAAGAACGATGTAGCAGTCGCAGTCTTAATAGTCCAGGCAAGGGACTGATGTTCAGATTTCCTGTCCTCCGATTTGAGAACATCCAACGAATCCGAGGACAAAAGCGAAGATGAAGAGAGATTCGCAATCGGAGGGTCGACCAAAGGAAGTGCTAGTAAGGCGTCTAGCTCCGGGGCCCCACAAGACAGCTTTTTGTCCAGGCTAGTGGGACCCATCAAGGAACCCGGTTGAGACTAGGGGGACTGTAGAACATCCGAAAAAAGTTGAGGACAGGGAATGTAATCCTTCCCTGGTTTCGATGACGAAAACAAGGCGTCGTGAGGAGCCGACACAGAGGACGGATCAGTAGATGGGACCCCCATATTGGTGGTCTGGCGAGCCTTGTGGAGCAATGATTTAAATAACGAAGGCCTGAATAAGCCGGAGAAGGCAGGGGCGTCTGGCGGAAGGCTCTCATCCTCCGAAAATTCCATGTCCTCCATCATTTCCTCCTCATGGTCAGACTCGTCCGAGGAAGCGCGGGCCATCCGAGATGGAGATTTGGAACGCGCCTGGGCCGTCGAGCGAGAAGCAAGGAGAGGGGTTGACTGAGGCTCCTGCAAGGAAGATTGTTGAATCCCAGCTGCCAGCAGGGAGGACAAGGCATTGGACAAGATAGCCTGGAAGTCCGCCTGGGCAGGCAAAAGCTGTCCATCTGGTCCCCAAAGACCAGCAGCAGTCGGAGTAAAGGTCGCTTCCGCCCGACGTGGAGGTGGGGGAGGGCTTTCGCTGAGGCCAACCGAGAAACATCAGGCAAAGATAGGGAGGTCCTCTTGGAAAGGACGCGAGGAGTACCTGAAGTCGCTCTAGAGGTGGCACAAGCACTATCCAAGGCAGGATCTCCGTGAGAAGGTGCAACCTCAGGAACCAAGGAGGGATGATCATGTGGGGCCAACTGTTGGTCAGTTTGAAAAACGGAAGCCAACCTGGCCTGCCTGGCTCTGTCGTACTGCTGCTCAAGAACCCTGTGGTGACGTTGGGCATCTTTATCCGCTGCTAAAGAAGGCCTGTGCTGGCGAGAATCAGCGGAGGTAGAAGCAGAACGACCCCGAGAGGTTGACCAATGTTTGGTCTGCGCTCTAGGAGGGCTGGGCTCCAGCTCCGGGTCGGAGGACAAGTAGGAGTCCACCATCTTGAAGAGGTGACAAAATATCAGAGGCCTTTATTTATTTATGCTCTTTTTTTTTGGTTTTTTTTTTTAAATGGTGTAAAAAAGGGGAAAAAAATGAGGAAATTGAACTATGTACAGGAGAGATGAGTAATCGCAATGGCTGAGGAAGCCGGCGATGGAAACAGCAGGTGTAATCACTAAGCA